GACACATGCGATCTCTAACAACTAGCTAACAGCTAACTGCAGCTTAGATGGGTAGCCATCAATCACTCTAGGTAAGCAGCACAGTGCATAGCACATATATTAGTGTGTGTGTTTTTTAACAAATTTTTAGAAAGTTTTACCTTATTATTATTATTATTATAATTTTTATAATTATTATTATTATTCAATCTTTACTGCATATAATTTAAATACAACTACATGTACTATAAGTACTCATTGCAATTTTCTGCCTCCAGGTGGCAGCGTTCGTGCCACGAGGGCCGAAACATACCGAATTCGACCCCGAAAACTACGTCAAACGCTCCGAGCAAAAGTCGATGGCGCCGGCGGCCATCTTTGCGATCGCCGCGGCTGACGAGGCACTGCGAGACGCCAGGTGGCGCCCCGTGAAGGAGCATGAGCGTGAGCGCACGGGCGTCGCCATCGGCGGCTGCAGCGTCGTCGCCGTTCAGGACATCGTCGACACGGCGCGCGCGTTCGAGCGCGGCTACAACAAGGTAGACATGTTGAAACAAGAGTGCGTCGGTCGGACGGCAGACGGTTGTTTTCGAGCTGTCCGTAAACGTTTAAATAGAATGCTAGAATGGAACAATATAGGTCGTATATTGTCCCAGTCTGAAAAAAGACTTATCAAATTCTGACAGGGTGATAAACATTTTTCTTCACTTGAGCATGGCAAAAACAAAGTGACATAGTGAAAAAATAAACAGTTCTGGATCAGCGCTACCAGTGCGGCATGATTCTACTGTTCTATAAGTAAATGAGTAGAGGTCTTTGGGGGTATCAGTCAGCGTTTAGGGCGAGGTAACAATAAACACAGAAAGAAAAGCGATAAAAAAATCCTCACCCATTGCTGGGCAATCAAATAAAAGATTTTGGCTGCAACAAAGTGATTAAAAATAGAAAAAAAAACTACACAAAAAATTTTCCCGCGGCGACTAAACGATGATGACTCACCGTTTTCGTTTTCGTTGCCATGGCGACGCGCAGGTTTCGCCGTTCTTCATCCCTCGCATCCTCACCAACCTCATCGCGGGCCACGTCAGCATCCGACACGGATTCGCCGGGCCCAACCACTCGGCGTCGACCGCCTGCACGACGGGACTCCACGCCGTCGGCGACGCGTTCCGATTGGTCAAGCATGGCGACGCCGACGTGATGGTGTGCGGCGGCGCGGACGCGTCCATCGAGCCGGTCGTCGTCGCCGGATTTGCTCGCATGAGGGCGCTGAGCACGCTATACAACGCCGAGCCGCACACGGCATCGCGGCCATTCGACGCGCATCGCGACGGGTTCGTCATCGGAGAGGGCGCCGGTGTGCTGGTGGTCGAGGAGTACGGTCACGCGCTGCGGAGAGGCGTGCCGATACATGCCGAGGTGCTCGGGTACGTATGTGTGCGCGTGCATGCGTGCGTGCGTGGGGGTTGCTTCTGCGTCGTCGTTGGTGTTAGTATTTTATTGTTATTGTATTGTGCTGTGTTGTATTGTGCTGTGTTGTGTTGTGTTATGTCTATATAATATTACATTGCATTTTGTTATTTTATTGTGTTGTTGTTGTGTTGTTGTGTTGTGTTGTTGTTTCATTTTATTATATCATATTGTATTGTATCATATTGTATATTTTATTATGTTATGATATGTTATGTTATGTTGTTATGTTATGAGATGTTATCTTATCTTATCTTATGTTGTTATTTTATGTTATGTCATTATGTAATATATCATCAGGAGTGAATAATAAAGATAATAATCTTTATTATTCACTCCTGATATCATAATATTAGGAATCATTGTACACCAAATTAACTATGTTACTTAATGTTACAAGCGCAGACTCTCATTTTAGATATCTCATATTTTTTGCATTTATATGCATATAGACTCATTGTATATATAACTAATAATGTTACATGAAAAGTCTGGGTGATACTCCATTAGGAGTGTTCCCAACTTTAATGTCATTAATGGTCATAATAACATATATATATATGGTCATATATTAGTTTGTGGTTTAATTTCATTTAGGTTAGGGTTAGAGTTAGGGTTAGGGTTAGGATTAGGATTATCAATCATTAATCATTAATGATATCAAAGTTGGGAACACTCATAATGGAGCGTTAGCCAAAAGTCTTACCTCGCGTCTAGTATCCGATCTAGGTCCCTAATCCGTGCGTTCGTGTTCGATCTATCTCCCTAGTAGTAATCCATGCGTTTGTATCATTGTATATATAACTAACCATCAGGGGCGTGTACAGGATTTGTACCAGGGGGGGTCTAACCGTAACCCAAACTTGCGAGCACGCGAAGGGTGGGTCTGGGGTGCCCTCCCCCAGAAAAATGTTGAAATTAGACCCCCTTAGATGCGTTTTCTGCGCGAGCAGGGGGGGTCCGGACCCCCTGGACCCCCCCTGTACACGCCCCTGACCGTGCGTTCGTATCCGCCCCGCAGGTACGGAATGTCGGCGGACGCTCATCACGTCTCGGCGGCGCGCCCGGACGGCCGCGGCGCCCATCTATGCATGGCCGCGGCCGTGCGCGAGGCCGGCGTCTCGCTCGAGGACGTGACGCACGTCAACGCGCACGCGACCTCGACCCCGGTCGGCGACCTCGCCGAGGCGCGCGCGATACGCTCGCTCTTCGGCGACTTCGCCGGCGGCGTCGCCGTCTCGGCGACAAGGGCGCACGGGGCACCTGCTGGGCGCCGCGGGCAGCGTGGAGGCGGCGCTGGCGGCGCTCGCGTGCCGCGACGGCTACGTGCCACCGACGATCAACCTCGGCGAGCTGGAGCCGGAGCTGGGAGCGCGGCGCAGCAACTTTGTGCCGCTCGTGCCGCAGACGTGGTCGGGCGTGGAGAAGCGCCGCGTCGCGCTCACGAACTCGTTCGGCTTTGGCGGCACGAACGCGTCGCTGTGCGTCGCGCAGGTGTGAGGCGCAGGTGTGAGGCGCAGGTGTGACGCGCAGGTGTGAGTCGCAGGTGTGACGCGCACGTGTGACGTGAAGGTGTGAGGCGAAGGTGTGACGTGCAGGTGTGAGGCGACGGTGTGACGTGCAGGTGTGAGGCGCAGGTGTGATGCGCAGGTGTGACGTGCAGGTGTGAGGCGCAGGTGTGATGCGCAGGTGTGACGTGCAGGTGTGATGCGCAGGTGTGACGTGCAGGTGTGACGTGAAGGTGTGACGCGCAGGTGTGAGGCGCAGGTGTGACGTGCAGGTGTGAGGCACAGGTGTGAGGCGAAGGTGTGATGCGCAGGTGTGATGTGTCGCGTAGGTGCGTTGTGTTGCACAGCTGTAATGTGCAGGTGACACGCATGTGCATTGTGATGCGAAGGTGTGACGTGTTGCACATGTGCAAACGCATCATCATCTTCACTTTCACCATTGTCACCATTGTCACCACCATTGTCACCACCACTGTCGTCGTTATCTGTATCAACGTCGTCGTCATCGTCACGAGTCCGGCGAATTTTCGGGTGTTTTGCTCCTATGTGGGAGCTGGGTGCGAGGTAGCAAGTAGCACAGTATTGCACACGCACTTTACCCGACTTGATTATCCTCGAAAGTATCGGCACTATTTGCATAATTACCTGCAATGATTCTATGGAGTTTGTTATTTTACCCTCAGTATTGCTCTCAGCTACGAATACATCTGTATCTGTTGTTATAAAATATAACGTGTTTTGTTATAGAAAGAATTCTGTGATGCTTTTCGAATAACGGGGGGGGGGGATGAAATACGAGCTACTTTTTGTTTAATTTTTTCCGAATGAATCTGGATCAAAACCATTTGTTGCTGTTAGGAGGTAATTAAGGTTGTGTAAAGTAGGTAATTTGATTCGTGGCATATTCTGTAAATAAATTTGATATATTGTTAAATGTTTTAGTTTTGAAATAAAATGAAATTGAATTAGTATGTTTGAGTAGGCAGGCTATTTATATTTCAATGATTATTTCGACAGTAGTTAAAACTGTGAATTAAAGAGCCATTATAATAACGATTTATATTTATATTTGTAAGAATTTCTAGACAAATCAGATGAATTGTGTTGTTTAGGAAAACAATTTTACTACACAGTCGCTATGAAGCTACATCACAAAATTTGTGGAACTGTTGTGAAAAGTTTAGACACATTGGCCGTTACTGTGTGCACTGTTGTGTTCAGCAATGATTACGGGCAAAGTTTGACGAATGATAAATGTTGCAATATTAAGAGAAACATTATCTCAAATTAAATCCATTGAGACTAACAAGCTGTATTAAAAACTGTGTTGAATATAGCTCATTGACTAAGACCATCTTTTGAGAATCCTTTTCCGTATTTTTGTTACTAGTTGTGTTTATTGCCGACAGGCGGCAGCAGTTGTACATCGCGTGTGTATATCTTCTGCTTCGCTGTAGTTTTGTTGGTTCGGAGGTGAAGGTACAAACTTATAATCCGTTAACAAGCAATTACTCCACGGAAGCGTGTATTTTCGTAATTGCATAATTATGGTGCGTCACAAAAACATCAGAACATATCACACCTAAATTAGCGAAGTAGAAAAAGTAATCTGGTGGTGAAAGACATCAAAGAAGAGCGAGAGGTAGGCCTAATTTCCTTGCATCATAATTAATGGCGATTTTTCCCAGGGTTTTAATTTTTGCTTGTAGTTGTATCATGTGTGTGTGTGTGGTTGTGCGTGTGTGAGATCGTGTGCTTGTGCGTGTGTGAGATCGTGTGTATGTGTGTGTACGCGTGTGTGAGATCGTGTGTATGTGTGTGTACGCGTGCCTGTGCTTGTGTGCTAATCATGTGACTGCGTCTGTAGGGCCTACGTATGTTTGCGCTTGCGTGTGCATGTGTACGAATCGTCTGTATGCGTGTATACTTCTTGCTAACTTCCTCTTGTTCATGTGTAAATGCCAGTACCAGAGTAAATCTCCTTCCTATATCAGGCTAGCCTGTCAATAGTAATACGATTATAGGCGATTCTTGTCGAATGCTGAAATAAACTCATCAGCTCGCGGCCTCGCACTGACTCATCTGTCGGCGCCGCACTGACTGGTTAAAGTGGTTTCTTCTGTCAGTGGCAATCGCAACTCATTACTAGCACCAGCGATTAGGCCACTTTCTGTAACGGAATTGTTTGGCCTGTGTTCGTAGCACTGGTGAGTCATCTCTGACAGCATTGCATTTCTATTCGACACGTGTCATCTTCAAAAGATCCCTCTGGGTTTAGCTTCTTTGTTTCTCGTCATTTCGTATTGGAATTCTCTCCTTTCTTCTTTAGTTAACTGCGATTAGGCTTAATCTACTGCGATCCGCAGTGTTGATCTGTCTAATTGATCAACAACTATTTCTGTTTCTATTCTTCGTTTTCGACTTCTGTCTTCGACCTCGTCTTTGTCTTCGACTTCTTCGTCTTCGACTTCTATTCTTCGTTTCCTGGACTTTGAAGACTACTATTTACGAGGTTATGGGATTATGAGGAGAGCGATGTGTGGGCTTTTAAGTTTTATTCGCCACGGTTTCTGTATGATGAGATCATACAACCAAAAAAATATTTAGAGACACCTAGTGACTAACTAGTATATTATTTCTATATGGTTACAACCGCTGGCTATCAGTAGTATTTTATCTGGTATTCTATCGTTACTCGATTGTAATTGTACTGTGTGTAAATAGTAATTGGTGCATGTATTGAATCATATGTGTTTATGTACGAGTTATACGTATTTATTTTATATATATTGTATTTGATTTACTGTATTTTAACTATTATATGTATTAGTGGGCACATGTCATATTTGTATGCATTTTGCTTCGCGATCTTGCCCTGAACATAATATTTGCTTTATTTGTCTTACGTGGTAGCTCCTTCTCCCGCTCTCCCCTCCTCTCCCCCTCTCTCTCTTTCCCACTCTCGAATTTCCACAGGAAAATAATGTATGAGAAAAATCTGAGACATGGAGAGAAACTCCGCTCAACGACATGAATAAATCACGAGTGGGTTTGATCTAACGTTTCCGAATGCTCGTTTTTTGCGCGGGTAATTAAATATACATTTGGCATCTCGCGTTACCATACAGGCAAAGAGAGAGAGAGAGAGAAGGCGAGAGAGAGAGCGCGCGCGCGGGGGCAGAGAAAGGGGGAGGAGAGAGAGAGAGAGAGAGAGAGAGAGTGAGAGAGAGAGAAAATGCGAGAGAGAGGGAGAGAGATAGAGAGAGAGAGAGAGCAGCAGCAGCAGCAGCAAGCAGTGCATTGAATTTCGCTATAGCAGCAGAGAGAGAATCACTGTCCTGGAGATATATATTGCCAACTCGTTACGGATTTCTCGTTTACCATAGCACGAGTAAGTTCTGTGAGCATCATCAGAGCAGTGCAGGCTGCGGCAGGAGGAGGAGGAGAAGAAGGGCAGGAGGAGGAGGAGAAGAAGGGCAGGAGGAGGAGGAGAAGAAGGGCAGGAGGAGGAGGAGAAGAAGGAGGAGGAAGGAGGAGGAGGCAGCGTGGCAGGCAGGCAGATGCTTGCTATCAACACACGTTAGGAGACACATGCGATCTCTAACAACTAGCTAACAGCTAACTGCAGCTTAGATGGGTAGCCATCAATCACTCTAGGTAAGCAGCACAGTGCATAGCACATATATTAGTGTGTGTGTTTTTTAACAAATTTTTAGAAAGTTTTACCTTATTATTATTATTATTATTATATATATATAGCTCCGTATAATAACTCTAGAATTATATTGTACGTATATAATACCGCTACTATATAATAGCTAGCTGGATTCGTGCAGTATTTATACATATCAAGACTACCATACAATGGTAGATAATCTTTTAGCAAAGCTACGGGGTAGATGTATGTATCCTGTCTACCTGCCTGTGTGCAGCAGTCAGTGCATTTATTACCCTTCATTTATATAGTCCAAGTCTCGTTGATGGATCGTATTCAGAGATTGTGTGTGTTGTCTGCGTTCGTGCGTGCGTGCCTGTGTGCGTGGGGGTGTGTGGGTGTCTGTGCGTGCGCGCGTGTGTGCATGCGCGTGTGTGGTGGGCAAGGCGAATGGAATCTTTATTCCAAATATATTAGACAAAATATGTTAGACAGGAGAAATCTGCGAGCATTGAATCACTCAACGTGACTCCAGCAGTGAGAATGTGTGCGTGGGAGCGAAGTTAACCCTTTCTTAGCTCCCCGGCCTACCACTACCCACCCACCCACCTACCCACCCACCCACCCCACTGTATAACCCACCCACGTTGTATAAGCACCTATGCAAACACGCGTGCAGTAGTATTGTTGGGTGCAGTGTAGCGTACCTCGTGGAAGTACGTTATCGCGCGTGTTTGCGCTAAAAATTCAGAATTTTCTTACACAGACGGGTTTGTTGGTGCGGAACACCCCGGAATTACCGTGGTTCCGATACGGCGCGTGATAATAGAGAAGGGGGGACCGAGAGATGGAGGGGTGAAGAAAGAGAGAGGAAGGCGGAGAGAGAGAGAGAGACAGACAGACAGAGAGAGAGAGGAGGAGGAGGAGAGAGAGAGAGAGAGAGAGAGAGAGAGAG